GCCCAATTTTGCAATAAAAACCCCAAGAAAAGGAGAGGAATATTCATGCTATGTGTATATGTACAGACATGTGGGGCATAACCACCTTCTTTTCTAATTTCCAAAACTATAGCAAAATTTTTTTCATTTTTTAAAGTCAAATGCAGTTGCCAAGTTTTCTAAAACTCTGAATTAACTACAAACAACAGGACTGCTTGAAAGATTCTTGGCAAACTTAATATATCCAACAACTTTAACAAGGAAAATCAGCTCACAGGCCTGCATGCTTGATGCCTTGGAGCCTGGAGTAGGTACCCTGACCACCACTGGTGGGGGGCCAAAGTGGTGATGTTTCNAGTGCAACTCAGATTAATTCGTGGTGGAATCCAGGGTCAGGGGCGATGTGACTGATTGTAACGTCTGCCCTGATCTGAGAAGACAAAGTGATGGCAGGGCCACGCCTGACGTTCTATGCACAAAGGACACACTTGCAATGACTTTTGCAGCCAACTTCAACATGAGAAATTCAGACAAGTAACAGTACTTAAACCAAGAAATAATAATCTAATTGAGAATCACTTCATTTAAAATGAAATTCTCTAACAAGGAAAAATTCCAATACTGAAAGACCCAGAACATTACAGGGTAAACTCTTCAGGGATATCCTACTTTACTGACTTATCCCCCTGAAATGTAAGGAAGAGGTTGACAATGAGACTGTTGGACAGCCCAGGAGCTGACAACATTTCAACATTAGTAAGTTTGATGTCCACAGAAGGAAACTTTATTTAAAAAACAACAACCCTCTCCTGGCACAGCCCTGCCCCCCTCCCTGAAAAAAACCCTCTTATACACAACCAAATCAGCAGTTCAAAGTCTACAGTATTCGCCTACAAAGAACATTCCCAAATACCACTCCCAGGGCTGGGGAGAGTTCAGTTGGGCTGGCCTACCCGGAGTTCTTAGCTTGGGCTGCTCCAGCAAAGGCCTCTGGCTTGTGCCCTCCTGGCCTGTCCAGCAGTGTCTGTTGATGCAATTCTTCAGAGAATGGGAAGATTCTCTGCTTTCTGAAACCAAAATTTCAGCTGCCACAATCAGGGGCTGTTCCTTTTGAAACTCACTACATTTCCTAGTTATAGGTACATTATCTTTAATAACCTGGCCAAACCTAAAACATACAAAGGAAGGCTCTGTGTCTACACAGAGTGACACATGCCTCTTCCTTCCAAATTCTGTAATAATTTTGATCAAGTGCATCAGGAGTTTCCTAGAACAGATTAGAAAAATGTCCTTCATAGATTTAAAACCTATTCTGACCAAAAGTAACAAGGACTGGACTTAACCTCCTGCCTTAAACAACATGGAAACTGGAAAATTTATATGAAATCATGATTTTTAGACATGAAAAACAACCAGCACAAGACTTTGATTTCTTTCAAACAAGTCAAGCCCTGTGATTGTCCCAGCTTATACCCTGAAGCAAGTTCCAGGGCACAGGATAAGGGAGGAAAAATCCTAAGACTTCAGGGAGGCCAGGGTGGCCAGAATTTGCTATGGAAATCTCACTTCCATCAGCACAAGTGGCCTCATGATACAGAAGTAGAATCCTCAGAAGGGTATGGCCTTGAAAGGCACAAATTAACCCTAAAGACTGCTCTGGCCCCAGCCTAATAAAGCTTAAAGGCAGGTCCTGAAATGATCAAACTGATGCCTAGTAACTTGACTGTGTACTAGGACAAACTCCAGCACTGTGAAGACCCAGCACCCAGTCAGGTGAAATTCACAGTATCTGGCATCTGGTAAAAAATTACCAGGCATAGAAAAAGGCAGGAAAATATAACCAATAACCAGGAAAAAGTGAAATCAATACAAACGGACACAGAAATGATGGAGATGCCGGAATTATCCAACAAGGACATTACAATACCTGTTAAAAGTATATTCCATATATTTAAAAAGCAGGAGAAAACACGAGCATGATAAAGAAAGAAACTGAAGATACAGAAAAGATCTAAATGGAATCTCTGGAAATGAAATATATTATATCTGAGTTGAAGAACATATTAATAGCAGTTTGGACAAAGGTAAGTTAGATATAGAAAAGAGACAAAGACAAAAAGAAATAGATGCTAATCTATTCTGGAAGAACAAATTCTTTTAGAAGTAGAAGGGAAATTCTTCCTTTTAAAAAGATATAATTCTTTCAGAATTGCTATTAAAGTTTAAGGATAATGGATTTAATGTTGGCATTAGCAGGAAGGAAGGTAGAGAATAAACACATTGTTTTTTCCAGATTGATCTTTATAGGACCATAAATTGAGATCTTGGTTGAAAATTAGGTTAAAGACAATACTGCCCAATAGAAATATAATGCAGTCACACATGTAAATTAATATTTTCTAGTAGCCATATTAAAAATAAAAATAGGTAAAATTAATTTTGATGTTTTATTTAGTCTAATATAAATAATAATTTCAGTATCATTTAATAGAAAAATTATTTTACTCTTTTTGCACTAAGTCTTTGAAATCCAATGCTTATTTTATACTTAGAACACATCTCAATTCTTACTGGTCACAAGTCAAAAAAAACAGCCAGATGAAGAGGTATATAGTGCAAAGTCCAAATGGGTACTGAGCACATGAACTCCTGTCCCCAAGGAACTGGGGTGCATCATCAACATGGAAGTTCATCAATCCTGTTTTTCAAAAGACTTTTTAGAGCTTAATTTCCAGTCCCCCAACCACCCTTCCCCTTCCCTGAGGTAGGTGTGTGCGGCTGAAAGTCCCAACTCTAATCACTTGGTATTTCTGGTGACCAGCCCACCCTCCTATCTAGGGACCCCACTCTAAGCCACCTCATTAGCATAAATTCAGATGTGCTCAAAAAGACTCCATATGAATAACAAAAGACACAACATTTATGGAGATGAAGATTATCTACACAATCCAATATTTGGGTTCAAATCATTTCATCTCACAGCTCAAGTAACTCTTCTATTTAACCCCTTCAACCATTAATCAGTCTACTAAGATGAAAAAATAAATTCTTGTACATTGGTTTATCATCAATGGCAAACAGCTTGTTCCACTCACATTAAATTCTGTGGTAGCTATTCAAACCAAATGCTTCCCTCTAAAAATACATAAGCTTTGCCTCTGTCACTTTCCACTTGTCACACGACATAAGAAGCAGAGATGTACAATTAAATAGATTAAGTCCTTTTCTCTCACTGATATACAAATAACCTCGGGGCTCTAGTCTCTACCCATCTGACACATGTCCTACCAGATCTCTTCAGGGAAAAACTTCCTGAGGTCAGCCATTGAATGGTGTTGGCAATGCAATGTTTTGGAGAAAGAGAAACTACTCATTCACTTAGAAAAATAGTTTTAAATAACTAAAGGAAATTGATTTTTCCATAGAAAGAAGCCTACAATCTAGCTGCAACCACTTACAAGGACCCACTATTTTTTCAGCATTACAGGTGTTGCATGAAATTCATGGTATATGATATCACCTGCATTTTCCCCACATCAAGTCCCATCTTTTCTGCATCCAGGCCAATCTTTAGGTTCTCAGGGTTCTCTGGACTCATTTTGGTATCCTCCCACCATGGATATAAGCACCTACAATAAGGCTTCCTGCGTGATGCATATCAAACCATTTCCTTGTAAGTAACTCCTTTCCCTGCTGCTTTATCCCAGAGGAAATAAAGTTCTTTCCCAACTTTCGTGCTGCTGTTGACCTTATTAATGTATAGTTGCCCCTCCCATAGTGCTCACCTTTCTAAAGACATAGGTGATGCTAACTTAGATGGTAGATCTTCCTTGTCATATTCATTAGTTCCCTATCTTTAATTTCACTGATCAAATGTCCACTGCTGTCTCAGAACAAGTTCTTATAAGATCAGTATGGCTTTATGGATACCTGCCATAATACAGAGAAGTCCTCCTCCTCCAAGTCATAACTTCAGTCTGTGACCACACTGTATTTGTACAGAGATCTCTTACACAGCATGGCAAGTTCCCGGAAGACTTAGCCTTTAGGCTGGTAAGGGTCTCACAGGGCAGTCATGCAACCTTTCTCCCACCTCATACAAACTGCCATAAGCCATTTTTACCTGAACCCCTTTCTGCTGATTTATGTCTATAAACTAGATCAGATCACTTTTCTTTACTTCTGGGAGAGCCACAGGATTACTAAAATCAGTCTCTGGATACTACATGGTTTCAGATTACTTATTTTTGAAGGGCCAGGTCTCTTTAGACATGCATTCAATAAACTGAGAGCCTATAACCAAGTATCTATTATGTACCAGGCAAAAGGAACATGAAAATAGATGTTCTCTAACCATAAAAATTTCATAGTCTCTAATCATTATGCACACACATAAACAAGTAATTTTTATACAACCATTAACACTGGCCTATTCAGCTGCAAGAGCCCCTTCTTTTCAATTACTGCAATGAGTGTGCTGCATTTAAACCTCCTTTTACCTTCAGGGCCTCAAAAATGGGGCTTCAAATCTCAGAACTTTTTTCCTGCTATACAAGTAGCCAAGAAGAAGCTAAATCAGTGAGACTTTAATGCCATTTCTAATCTAGCTTTGTGCTTTAGGCTACACAATGCAGAGACGACCAGGAGACTCAGTCTTTGGTCACTGAGCCTCCATCTGACTTACCTTATTTTTTGCATTGTGAGGTAACTGCAAGGAGAGGACATTATAGAAACAGAACACTCCGCTTTGAATGTTCTGGTCAAGCTAGGATGAAAGCAGGGAATATGCACAGGTGCCTGAGGATCAATCCATGCTCTAAGCTGTTTAAAGCCTACAAAGTGCTCTCTGAACATCATACAGGAACAGCAATATCTTTACTTTTAACAAATTAGACCAGATTCTTGGGGGCTGTAATGAGACTCTTTTCATCCATTCCAATTGCTTCTGCTCTTTTCAGCTAATGCCTATCAAATTACTGAATGTCATTATTTTTCAGCTATTTGAATAATAAAAAATAAAGAACAGTATAGATCACTTTGTATTTATTACATGTTTAAATGAATTTTTTCAAATTACAGAATTCAACTCCAAAATAAGGTAATTAATGCCTGTTATTCACTTGTATTTTTCCTTCCTAATATTTTAACACAGCAAAACATCTTAAAGACGTGTCTAGGTTCAGTACACTTTCAGTGGCTCATAATCATAAAAGACCACATTTATCAATAAGAAACAAGACAAAGAGCTCAATATTTTAAAGTATTACTAACATAAAATAAAGGAAAAAATAAAATACTGCATTTTCACCACAATTGTTTTGGTAGATGACAGTACAGTATTGTTTAAAATAATGCTCTTCCTCAGCCTACGCTGTGGCATGCTTGGCACTTAGCACTTGGTAACTGCTCAGCTTATCTACACTTCCCTTAGAAGGACTCTTGCTCAGGATCCGCTTTCCCAAGCCTGACCTGCCTGCCTCCACACGGACTATGCTGGTGGGAGCCTGATCCTTCTTCCTTCACCTGTTCTTAAGGCTTTTCTGTCTTGTCTGCCTTTATTCTACCCAATTCACACCTGCTGCCACCTGCACTGTCAGGGCAGATGCCCAGGACAGAACTCACACAGTTGGGTAGCACACCCACCACCGCTTTTACTCCAGATGCTGACCTTTCACTTGGCTAAATTATGACTATAAGGTAGAGATGACCCATCCACAAAAATATCTACAATGTAAAAAAAGATGGTGGTGCCTGACTTAGAACTTAAAACATTGAGTTAGTTTAGGCAGAATATAACTGCTGTGATATTCTTTAAAATCTACTCTGTCTTACTATTACTATTTGTTTTTAAAACCATAAAAATATAAAAATTGTAAACATTCCACTGAACATTTCAGTATAAACCTTGCTACCCTAATTTTTATTTAGTGGGTTCAGAAAAAACAAGAGTGACACCACATTCCCTCTAGAAGACCCCATGCTCCCAGGCCTAACCTGCCATTACCTATCTTCCACCATTACACAGTTTTGTCAGCCAAGCATTTCTTTCATGACAACCTGCTGCCACTCATGAATACCCTTGCAACACAGTAGCACAGCAGCTCATTGTAATCTCTCCCAAAGAGCTGCCCATCTGCCTGCTGGGCACCTTATTCCCACTGCTCCCCACCTGACCCAGCTTTGGCGATCACCCAAACACACACAAGTAAGGACACAAAAACCTGGAGCACCTTCTTTGCCACACACTGCATTCCTCCACAAAGTGAGAAGGCACTTCCTGTCTCTTTGTCAGATAATAGCAGAATCAGGTGGGCGAGGGGGTTCTGCTAACAGAGGTAGGAATAACGCGGAAGCTGATGAGTCTAGCCACCAGGGTCCACACTCCCAGTGACAGCACATTCCCTTCACCATGGCACTGTTGGGAGCTTGAAGATGAATCTGATCTTCTGATCTTCTACTGAAAAGGAGAGACCTATACAGGAAATCCCAGTCACTTATCATTGCTCTTGTAGCAAGGTTTTACGGTGTTATGTTTTTAAAGGCATGAAATCACTAGGTATTACATTTGTTTTAAATCAGTAACTTAAAGATTAACTTTTAAAAACACTGCTTTTGTTTTTAGGGAGGAATACACTAGACACAAATGACTAATGAAACCTACCAGCTCTAGGGAATCCCTTTAGCATCTTTATCAGCTATGATTAATGGTAACTTAAATTAGAATTCCACACCTGGGTGACAAAAAGTACCGATTAACCAGAGTATTAACGGCAATGACTTAAAATTATATTATCCAAATAGTTTCCATGGTGAAGTGTCAGAAAAAGTGAAATAAGAAATATTTTCCACAGCACCATAGGTTTTATAAAATACTATTTCAGTTTTTAACATTAATATACAATCTCAAAATTCCAGTCCATCATTCATATTAGGCTTACCCTCTTCTTTCACTGATAATAGTTCTGACAGAAGCCAAACAGGGACAGCTATAACATGAAAATAATATATTGTACTGAAGACCCTGTATGATCCACTTAGTCACGGCTTCAGCTGTATCCATGGGGAGTATTGTATTTAAAGGACAGGAAGGATGGTTTTGTCATTTACACTCTAATTACAAATTTTAAGTTGTCAAAGGACCCAAGCGGTAACTGACTAAGATATCTGCCATAACTAGAAAGTCCTTTTACATCTGTGTGCTTTACTATTGTGTGCTCTTATAGAGTTTTGTTTCTGTATGATAATATTATGTAAATAACTGAATTTTTAAAATAAGAATGAAGTGATTCACTCTAAATTCTGAATTTAATAACAAATGCAAGTGGAAAACAAATTTTGTAGCCAAATTATATGCAATTATTTGTAAAAGCTGTATCAGAGATTGCATCCCCCCAATATCTAGCATGCTCACAGATCTCCTGAACTGTTAGTGTGTGCTGTGCCAACTTAGTTCAACACTAATCTAAGCTAAACATACTTGAAAGTAATGACTTCCTACCAAAAAGCATACACTGCACTCCAAAGCCAAATATGAATTAGGTTTGGGATTATCAATTCCATGTCTCGTCTCTAACAATGCAGAGAACTGAGTCTTGGCTTTACCACCAATCAGGTAGCATTAGAGTATATTTGCTATAAAATCACTTATAACAAAATAAATATTTTCAGTCCCTCTACACCAAGTGATATATAAATCAATAGCTGTTTATAACATTAGCTTAGGTCACTTTTTGGGACCTAAACATACTGTACAATCCTGAGTAAAAAGTTAAGGATACAGTTTTTGGGGGAAGTTTCTTGATCAGGAATAAAGAAAACACATTAAAACAATAGTTTGTAATAATCCCTATTTCATCAGCAGTACCATGAGTACTTTTTACTTTGGTAAATAAATTTATCTATGTAAACCATTTATTTTGATGCAGTAAAATATAAGCACAGCTGCTGCTAGGATCCCTCCATCACCTTTTGACATTGATACAGTAAATAGTCAGGAAGAGTAGAGCAGGAAGATCTGAACCACAGGGCTAATACATCACCATGAACTCGGAAATGTAGCAAGCAGGGGATGGATGGAAGCAGCTGACAAGCCAACAGCCCTTCATTACCTATAACAAAAGGAGAATTAAAAATCCTTTAATACAAAAGGACTTTCATAGACATTTCTCCAAAGATACCAAGTGGCCAATAAGCACATAAAAAGATATTCAACAACACTGGTCATTAAGGAAATGCAAATTAAAACCACAGTGAAATACTACTTCACACCCATTAAGATGGCAAATATAAAATAAATAAATAAAGCTATTGATGAGGATGTGAAGAAATTATCATTTTGCATTGCTACTGGGAATGTAAATGGAATAGTTACTATGGAAAACGATATGGCAATTTCTCCAAAAATTAAATAGTTACTATATGATCCAGCAATTCTAGTTCTGGGTATATAACCAAAAGAACTGAAAGCTGGGACCTGAACACAGATATTTGTACACCCATATTCACAACAGACAAAAGGTGGAAGCAATCCAAATGTCCATTGACAGATGAATGGATAAACAAAACCTGGTGTATGGAATGGTATTGAGTCTTTAAAAGGAAGGAAATTTTGATGCATGTTACAAGATGGATCAACCTTGAAGACATTATGCTAAGTGAAATAAGCTGAACAGTGTTTGCCAGGAGCTGGAGAGAGGGGGATGGGAAGTTTGTGTTTAACAGGTACAGAGTTTTAGTTAGCAAGAAGGAAAATCTCTGCAGATGATGGTGGCAATGGCTGTACAACAACATGAATACACACTTACCTAATAAAGTCTGAACAACATTTTCATCAGGAAGATACTCATAACAGGAAATGTAACTCTAACAAATCTGACACTTGTAAAGGTTGATTTGTGTTCTAACTGTGAGAAAGTCCCTATAAATTCAGGATTGCCTTTTCATAACTCTACGAACCTATAATTTCAACAACATGAAGTCTTAGTTCCTGTTGCAGGGTCCTCAGGACAGAAGGCAGAGCAGCTTGAGATTCTGACATTTTTACATTTTGCTTCACATCATTTGCGTAGGACAACCAGAGTTTGCCAAAGTTTTCAGTTGAGATTTTCAATGGTCTGAAAATAATTTTTAAAATTAGATTTATGTCCAAAAGAATGGAAGTATTCTAAACAAATAAACAAATACATTTCAAATAACTACTGGGAAGAAACATAATTATTGTAAATCTAGGGCCTACAATATTTAGGTTTTTAAACCTAGTAAGTAGAATGTTTACCATCACCCTCCAACGTGATGAAAATACTGAAGGCAGGGGCTATCACTAAAGTGCAAATGTCTTTTCAATAAATCACCCAGTTCTCCCCTTTTCTTAGTATTAATCACTTCAGTAAAATTTTACCAAGTAACGTCAGGAATCACTCAAATATAAAACTTTTCTTTCACGCATACTTTGGATTTGGGAATGAGACACTCTATCAAACACATATACAAGAGTATGAATACAAAGACCCAGCACCTTAAGTAAATTAAGACCAAGAGACAGAATTTTAACAAATGTACTTTTGAGATGTTCATGAGACTGAAGATCAAATAGTTAATACTGGGTATCTCTAGGGGTAGAATTATAAGAAATTTTCATATTTTACTTGTATTTTTCAATAGCATTTGAATTTTTTTAAAACTATGTGTTGGTTTTATGATTCAGAAAATATTTTTTAAAAACAGAGGATTTTATTAATAATCACTGAAGAACTATTTGTATTATATAATGGTCACCATGGGATATACCTTCATAATCACTGAATTTAAGTCTGTGAAGGCTGGATTCTATCTTCTAATGCACCATGGGCATATTTACATACTCTGACTGACTAAGACATGCTTTTACTAAAACATTTTAAAGACTAGCAAAAATTACAGCAGTAGAGTGTGTGGAGGTTAAAAAAATGTTTACAGTTTCATTGATATTCTGCATCCTTGGTCCAGGCATCTTCATTTTAAAAGATGTTTTAGTACAGTACAATATATCCATAAAACTAAATGACAGTAGAGGAGTTAATAGACTGCTTTCAATTATTTTGGTAACACTGTAGTGCCTGGTATAACACAACTTACTGTATGTCTAATAAATGTTTAATGACTTTGTTGAGTAGTTCTCTTTCAGATCTCTAAAGCTTAATGAACAGATTTTATGAAATAATTAATCAAATAAAAGAAATACAAATGAGAGAAACTTGGAAAAGCTTAAAAAAAAAAGCCATGCAGAATCACTGAAGTTCCTTCAGTTTAAACAGTAATACCACTTTCAGAAATTTTCCAAGATCACTAACCAACCCCATCCTAAATTGGGTCCCTTATTATAACTACTCATTGTACCATTTACTTCCTCACATAGCACAATTCAAATTACACATGCATTTACATGACTACTCAATTATCTCCTCCCTAGACTGATGCTCTCTAAGGGTAGGGACTGTACCTCGTTTTGAATTAGCAGAGCACTCAGCATAGAGCTTCTGCCTAGAGAAAAGGCCTAATACGTATTTGCTGAAAGAATGAATAACCTGAATTAAAATTCCAGAAAATATTTACCTAATGAAATCTAATAGTGATAAGTTTACTGAAAATTCAAGCTGAACAGAATGAGTGTCCATCATTTGGTAATTTATAAAACCAGTAAGACTGCCTTCTGTAAAAGGTTTTTCCATCTGCACACTATACTGAAAGTTTTTGGTGCTTTCTGCTTCTCTTACAGGCAAGCAGCATCCAGGTTGCTCAGTGATCTGTAAGCAAAAATAAAAAAAAGTGTTCCAGAAGGAGTCAATACAGATTATTGTATGAATACCAATTTTCTATTAAAGTTAAGTGGTACAAAAGCACACCACTGTGAGACATTAATAACAAACCACATTATGAAAGTGACTGACAACTTCACTTGAGAAAAATCCACTGGCAGAGATAACTAAAAAATAATAGTACGCAGGTCAAAACTATGTAATAAATGGCATTAGAATGAAAACTCTATAAATAAATTTAACACCAAAAAAGTTACTTAACTCTAATCCTGTGGTTCTCAATCCTTGTTAGGGCACCCAGATTTTTAGGACTAGGAAAGTTAAAAAAAAAAAATACAGGTGTCTTTCCTTCTTACGCTATATCCTTAATTCAAGCTCTGGCAGTAAAGCTCAGACAATGGGATTGGATTTTTTTAAGTTCCACAGGTGATTCTAATGCACATCTAGGTCAGGAACTTCCCTGGTCAGTGGCCCCATTAGTTCATAGAACGATCTGATCTGGTTTTGTGGAATACTGATCTACTGGTCAAATCTCTTTACAACTCCACCAAGGACATCCACACAATAACGCAACTAAGCATACATGCAGAAATCACAACAGCAGTCTGCTGGGAGCTGGGGAGCAACCCAACTGATGCCTGAGCACTCAGTACATAATAATCAATCAGTGAGAGAAAAAGGCAATAGACAGCAAACACATTTATCTTTCAATATTCTTACTCCTTGATGTTCTGCTTTGTTAACTTGAGGATTTTGTCTCAGTGTGTATGGCAAAAGTGAATGAGACATTTGAAGAGTTCAGGTTAACAGAAAAGACACAGTGAAAACAACACATGTGCCATGTACTGTTGTAAGCATTTTTAGATATTAACTCACAGCAACAGGAACACACTATCAATACCTTCATTTCCTATGAGAGGAAATTCAAAGCCACAGAAGTTACATAACCCGACGACATAACATAGCTAATAAACAGCAGAAGCAAGATTTAAAGCCAAGCAGTCTGAGTCAAAAGTCTACATTTTTAACTGCTATGCTCCATAGAAACTTACTTTTGTATTTATGACCTTTTCCAACACAATCTTTATTATGTTTCCTTGTCTCTTTTGAATAATTTGTCCCTACTAAAAATAAAAAAACCTGTCTCATCTTTACTTTTTTATTGAAGAGGAAAGGATATGGAAGAAATTTATAAACCATCAGAAGAGCCAACAGCAGAAACAGAAAGTAAACATTGTCCATTTAAGGCAGATTTTTATTGAAGAGGAAAGGATATGGAAGAAATTTATAAACCATCAGAAGAGCCAACAGCAGAAACAGAAAGTAAACATTGTCCATTTAAGGCAGAAAAAAGAAACCACTTACTGTCTTACCTGGAAATTTTCTGCAGGAGCAATTTCTAAGTTAGCACTTTTCAATTCCGAACCACTCTTATTAGAAACTAACCAGACAATCAATAAACAATCCTCCTTCCAAATTTTGTAAGAAGATACTGATATGGTTTCATTATTACAGACCTCTACAACATCCGAATACATGTGCTCAGTAGTATCTTCCAACAAGGAAGAAGCTAAAGAGATTTCACTGGCAACAGAGGCTGCAGTGGCTTGAGGAGGGTGAAAAATTTCCATGTTATCAGCAAACAAAGAAGGTTTAGGTGTAGAGAGGCTGCAATTTGCAAGTTTCTCAACCAAGGGCAGTTCTGTGAGTGACTCAGAATCCAAAAGTTCTGAATTAAGAGAAAATGTACTTAATTCTTTGTCTTCTCTATCCTGCAAAGTATTCAAACAATAATCTTCGCAAATTGCACTTGATGAAGAACTAAAGGAAGGACAGCTCATATTATGAGCACTGATTGTTTCTTCACTTTTGGTTTCCTTGACTTTTGATTTCCTTCTGAACTTGTGAGAGACAGTATCTGCTTTTCCCAGCTGCAAAAGTAAAACAATAATATAAAAATAAATCATTCAACTAGTATGAGTTTTAAACATTTCTCTGTAATTTCAAATGAGCAATCTGCTAACTTGCTACAGTTCTATCTATAAAACACAGATTAACATAGAATCAGAGATGAATAATATATTAAACCCTAAAATTCTGACAGCTACATAATTTTAAACCATTAGCTAAATCTTATTTCTCATTAAAAACACATAAAATCAATCAGAAAAAGAAATAAGGTCAAAAAGTCAATCATGAATAATTCTAAAAACTTGTTAGATTTCAGAATACCAAAGTACAAAACTGAACAAACCAAGACCAGGGAGAAACCTAGCCATTTATTGAGTTTCTAGAGTTGTCCTGCAGAAGTTAAGATACCCTCAAATACAGCAAAGGCTCAAACTCCGGTTCTGTAATCTATAATAATCATGATTCTTCGGTTGGTGTGTTAATGAATGGGAAAAAAACTAGTTTTACCTCGAGTCATCTGGCAGTGGCTGACACACACACAGCGGGAGAGAATTCTTTAAGTGACTAGTGACATTTGCTACAGACTCAGGAGACGGGAATGGCAGATCTGCCATCCTTGAGCTAACCCTCCTGAGGAATGGTCTCTGAATCTCTGTAAGAAGAGTGATGGCTCAAGTGTCCCCGTGGCTCACAAAGTTCTACCTAGAATCCATGCAGCAGATTGGCATGCTCTATGAGCATGTCTCCATCTTCCTGGGGGCCTTAACAGTGGGTGGCCCCCTTCACATGATTCTAGTTAACCAGAATTCTAGGTCCCCTCTACACCCACTCAAGTCCCTCAAGTTCTAACAAGTCTTCCAACTCTTAGCAGTTGAGTTTATCTTATCTTTCAACTCAGAAGTCATTAAGAAAGAACTAACGTTCTATTAAAACAAAAACAAACACAAGTGAGGAAGGGTGGGTGGAGTGGGTGAAGAACTTCATTTCCAGTAGCTGTGGAACTCAAGCGAGCTGTGTTAGACTTTTGGATACGATTCCTTAGGTCACTGATGCTCTGGCTTTATTTTTGTTGGTTGGTTGTTTGGCCTTTTTTCGTGTGCTTTATTTTGGATATTTTCTTTTTTTTTATCTTCAAGTTTAATGATCTTTTCTTCTGTTCTAATTTGCTGCTAGTTAGAAGCTACATAAGCCAGAAGACACTGGAGTGAAATCTTTGTTCAAACACTTATAAAGAAAAGAAACCATCAACCTAGAATTTCATTACCCAGAGAAAATATCCTTTAAAAAATCAAGGTGGGGGGGCAGAGCCAGGATGGTGGCGTGAGTAGAGCAGTGGAAATCTCCTCCCAAAAACACATAGAGCTATGAAAACATAACAAAGAAAAATCTTCCTAAAATAGAGACCTCAGGACACAGGACAACATCCAGACCACATCCACACCTGCAAGAACCCAGCGCCTTGCGAAGGGTGTAAAATACAAGCCCCGGCCCGGCAGGATCTGAGCACCCCTCCCCCCGGCTCCCGGCGGGTGGAAAGAAACCGG